GTGGGTGTTTTTGGGGTAGGGAGAAGATGGGTGGGGGAGGGTGTGTGTGTGTGTGTGTGTGTGATCAGGGGGATGCGTGTGTGAGGGGTGGGGTGGGGTACATGAGCGTGTTTGTGTGTCTGTGTGTAAGTGTGAGTGTGTGAGTGAGAGTGTGTGTGTGTGAGTGTGTATGAATGTAGGGCTGGGGAAGGGGGAGGAGGAGGAGGATAAGAAAATGAGGCAGGAGGATGGTACGAAAAACAGACATTTAGTTTTAGTTTTAAAAAGAGTTTTACTGCACTTGTAACACAAATAGGCCATATAAGTGCCAGAGATTAGAAGTGTTACTGGAGAGTAACAAGCAGAGGACAGTTAAGAGGAGAGAAAGAGACAACAGATGTTTTAAAGGAAAGAAGGAGCAAACCACACCATGGCGCCCACCAACCACCCACGAAAGAAAGAGAGAAACATAGAGACTTTAAAATAGATAGATATATAGATAGATAGATAGATGGATAGATAGATAGATAGATAGATAGATAGATAGATAGAAAGATAGATAGATAGAGAGAGAGATAGATAGATAGAGAGAGATAGATAGATAGATAGATAGATAGATAGATAGATAGATAGATAGATAGATAGATAGGGGGTAAAAGGAGGGGGAAGTGAGTGGGGTTGCTGGGATGAATGAGGGGTTGTATAATATTTTGTTTTAAGGAATAAATTCGACAGTAAGCCTTATTTCTTTTTTTCTTTTCTTCTACTGCAGTATCTTTGCTGTTTTAGAACCAACAAGCCTTCCACTAAAGACCGCTTCCTCTAAACACAAGGGGTTTATCATTGTTTCACAATCAGCTATCCACCAAATTATATCATTTCAAATTTGGATTTTTTTTCTAGTTGAAATAATTAATCAGGAAACTACTGCTGAAAAATATATAACTCACATTTCGATACTTACAAATTCCACATTTTTATTATTTCATTCTAAACATTTTATTTCGTTAAATGAAGATGCGCATAATTTCATTCAAAAAGTTTTGTCTGAAAAATTGTTGTGCATTTCATAATTTCATTTTAAAACAGTTAAGAATAATTGAAAATGTTCATAATTTAATTTGAAAAAGTCAAAATTTTTGCCCGCATTCTTATGATTTAATTTGAAAAAGTTAAAAATTGCAGCCTACATTCTTATAATTTAATTTGAAAAAGTTAAAAATTGTAGCATGCACTCTGGTATATTAATTTGAAAATGTTAAATTTAATAGCCTATATTTTTATATTTTAATTAGAAAACTATAAAAACTGCAGACTACATTTTTATAATTTCATTCCCACAATTTTCACACCAGCGGTTTTTTATTGCTGTTGCCTGTGCTACGTGTGTCAGAGCGGGCTAATCCATGTTCATTTTTAGCTGTCTTGTTTACTCGACTGGACAGGCCTCTGGTAAATAAACATTCCCCGAGCTATTTATAGCACACAGCAACACCAGCGCCCCCTACACGCCATGGCGGGTTGTTTAGGGTGTGTGTGCAGGGGTCTTGAAAGACTTCTTGTGTTTTGTGTTACGTGTGTCTGATTGCTTATGTGAGTGTTTGTGTGTGTGTGTGTGTTTGTGTGTGTATGTGTTTGTGTGTATGTGTATGTGTGTGTATTTGTGTGTGTGTTTATGTGTGTATGTGTGTATGCGAGTGTGTTTTTGTGCGTAAGTGTGTTTGTATGTGGTGTGTGTGTGTGTGTG